AAAACAATCAATATAAACAAATAATCATACAGATAGCATAAGTGATCTAATAATACTTGTCATTCTAGTTCTGGCCGGTGAAAATTCGCTAGTAATTAAAAATAAATTAATCTTCTGTACAGTATATAACATAGTTTACCTAGATCAGTGGCGGCCGGTGCATCAGGGATTTTGGTCGGAGTACTTTTATTACAGAAATAAACACACAAAAAATGTGTTTTGGAATAATACAGAATTTTTGACACACAAATTATTGTGCATCGAAACTTTAAACAGATAGTGATAAAGGAACCCTTTAATATTACATTGGGTTAAGATAATTTAGTTAAATTAATTGAACTACATTGTTTGAATCTTTTATCACATTTATGGTTTGGTGATCTCTCTAGTCTCTTCTGGTTTACACTTGTTTTACGTTTACAAAATTGGAATTATAAATAGTACTTTATAGCTCAGAGTTATTTAATTATGGTCTATTGATAGTTTTTTACAAATAATATTTTGTTTTTTGCTTAGTTGGATTTTTTTTACCAGTTTTAACTAGCAGTTAATTATAACTATTTTTCTTATTTTGTTTCTTTTTATTTCCTATTATTTGTAATATAAGAGAAAATAAATCAACGAAACTAGGACTTTCATAAAAGTTTGAAATGCAACCTGCAACTGAAAATAAATTATCTTTTCTTACAGTTACCCGACAAAGTTGGCTTCCTTGTACTGTTCATAGTACAGAAAGCTGCTAATTGCTGCATATTTATACTTCTTCGTACGGTTTATGCTTTGGCGCACATCAGGATTCCAACGAAACAACACAAAACAGCGTGGTTCTATTATGCACGTAATCCGTGTACGCTTGGAAATAGGTTGGCAACACTTAAAGATAATAATACCATGAGCAGCTGATTGACTATTATAACTACGATTTAACCTGTCATTTTGTGTTTATAGTTTTGGTATTTCTGAACTTTCTGGACTTTCCTTTAAAACGTTTTTAAAACATTCCTACGATCTTAATAAACAAGAAAATACCTTTAAAGCATTTTTTGTAGGCGGGGAAACCACTTCAAATTACAAAAACATACGGAACTATATTCTCAAGTTGCGGAGCACATTTCTTGCCGAGGAAAAATAGACCGGGTACTACTTTCTCTAGGGCACCTATTTGTGTTGCCAGCTGAACCTAAAAACGTGTTGTATAGTGTTTGAAAGACTAATTATTTATATGCTTTATAGTGACTGTAGGAAAAATATAGGTAATGTGTAACACGAGTGCAAAAGGCGTTTGCTGCACTCGAGATCATTCCGCACTCGCCTGCGGTTTGTGCGTAAACATTGCACTCTTGTGCAGCAAAGTGCCACTTTGCCCACTAGTTACACAAATAACTATATTCTACTCTCAATAACAATTTCCATCAAACGGCGTCTAACTGTCACTGTGACCTTTTATCAGTCTAACAAAATAATTATAATTACAAAAAAGTTAACCACACATTGCTTATGGTTACTTATAACTAGATCATAAGTATTTAGTTTCCTGCACCATCATAAAAAGAAGGCTGTGCTTTTATTAGTGTTTGTTTTATTCTTTACACATTATTTGTTAAAATATTGCTAATCAATCATTTTTTGTAGACTAGGAACCGGATAGGCTTAGATCTTCATTTGCAATATTAGACTGGACAATCAGATAACAATTTTAGACACAAAATATTTCCATAGATATAAAATAGTATATCACTTTTTGTTAAAAACAAAATAGTAAGTCTTTAAGGTTGGTCAATGATTTTGTTATCAAACAGGTACTGTTTTGTGTGAGCATCAAGTTAATTTTTCTTGTGCTGCCATTATCATAAATTATTAAGTGTGACAAAAGTTAGACATTTTGTCCGTGTTGGATTCACTATGGAAATAAGAGCCTGTGGAGAGAACCTAGAGCTGTAGACGATTCCAATTTGTTCCCACTTTTAGTTTACACATAGATTTTTCTACAATTGAAATCATCACCATGGTTAGTCTCCTGAGCAAGAACAGGTTTTGTTTTTGACTTGCAATGGCCAAAAACTCACACCTTCAGTTATGTTATTAATCAGAGTATCAGTCACGTTAGGAATTGGCAAGAAAATGAATAGCTTGACTCTAGATAAATAACTTATTTTAAGGCTCTGGTCCGTAATCTATAGATGTTAAGTGAATGGAAGATATGTGTAGAAATGAATAAGGTATTTTAGCAGCCTTGACCAAACTAAACTATTGGTACCTATTGTCATTTACTGTACTTGATCAATAACTTTTTGTTTTTATTCTTATTTTAATCATCATAAGTTTATTTCAATAGGATAAAATCATATAGCCATTTCTAAGGATTTGAAAAACATTAATGTTTCAATACTACCTACGTCAAACAGAGTCTTATATACTGCCTATAATGCCTTTGTACTATGTAATGCCTTGCCCGTATACTGTATAGACCTGTGAGTAAAAAGTTGCATCGAACATTGTCTTAAATTTATTTTTCCATTGTTTGTGAACAATCAATAGTATTTTATTTTGTAAGACATCAAGATTAAACTTAGCCACTGTGTGAACGTTATTAGCAAACCATTTTGAAGTTTCTTAACTCTACCATATGATTTTTTCATTCTATTCGATTTGCATGTTGTGAGCAAACTGGTCTATTGGTAGTGTGGGACTTCAGTCTTCGGGCTCAAAACCCACCAACCACCAATAGATTTTTATCTAAGTGAAAATGGCTCAAGCTTTTAGACCTTGTCTGAAGTAGTATGTAAAACAGTGCAGGGCTAGAACCTTCGTCCTAGGATGGGAAGTAAAGAAATAGTTGGATACTGTCCGCGAGAGTAAAGAAGTCCCATGAGCTCTGGCCTATTCGTAGTTTGAAGGCGTTAGGCTTGAACGTTTTGCGCGACAATTAGAGCCGTCTTCACTCTGCTTTGCTAGTTGTTAGGCTTAATTTTTGTATGTAATATCTGTATGATTTTTATCAATGTATATCATAATATTTTTTGCATAGTCATACAATCGAAGGAAACCCTCGATTGTAACCTACTCCTCTCAAAACAGGTAATAGTTTTTTACATCTAGAGACAATTTGTTTGATGGTGTAAAAATCGCGTATTACATCTACGATTTTACATGCCTATCAAAGCTATCTATTTGTACTTTATGGTTGTCAGCCTTTTTGCGTTTTTTCCCGGGTGTACAGAGTTTTGTATAGTAGCACCACGTTTTCTTAAATCCATAGCTACAAGGACCATCCAAAACAAAACAGAACACACGAGACTGCACTGAATCAAATTACGTGACCACATGATGATAATCCACTTACCAAAACAAAGATATGAGTAATTATGTTTACAACAGTTGTTTACAGACAGACATCGAGGCGAGGCGCCCTGATGCTTAGCGCCTGCAAATAGTGCGCGATACCCTCCAAACATAGCTGCGTATCGCTCTTGCTCAAGGGACTTCTTTACTCTCGCGGACAGTACACATGTTGAGACTCTTTTATCACCTTCCGAGCTGTGAAACTTCATTTTCTTCATATATTAATATGATAGCTTCATACATAAAACACACACACAAAAAAAGTATCATAGACAAGTGGAACTATATTATTTGAGGTTGCATAGTCTATTACCTTTTTTCACAAAACTATTAAGTTTTTTTTCCATTTTGAAAACAACAAAAAACGGATTGAAAACTTATGATTAAAACAAATATTTTCCTGAAAAGTTAAGTCTCAAAAAGAGTAAACTCAAACAAAAATTTTTTGTTAATTAAATGTAAAATATACCACTGCATTGCTTTCAGTGAATAAAACATAAAAAGTTTAACAACTACACAATTTACAATATTGATAAGTTTCTTTTATTCCTATTCAGGGGTTGAAGACTCAATTAAACAAGAATAAAAAAGTATATACATTTATTTACACATTAATACAATAGTTCACAAAAGGTACCTAGAGTAGGCTACAAAGTTTCATTTAAATAAATTTTATTTATAAATGGTGTTAAACAGATGCAGACTTCATTAAGTCACAATTTAATTGGTCAATTGGTTCTTTATTTCAGAAGTATTTTAAAGTAAAGGTACATATTATAGTAAAAATTTATCTGGACAAAAATATATTGTTTTCTATATCGTGTTAACTTTGTAACTGCATAGATTTGTTTAACCTTTCTAATTTTTAAAAGCAATAAATTAATATAGATATACATAAAAATTTTTTACAAGTATGAAAAACAAAGAATGAGCAAGAGAGCATAAATTAATAAATTAACTTGAGGTGATGTTACCAAATTTCCAAGTGGCCTCTCAAATTTTTCAGGCAATTGTACAACCATGTCACTATGAAAAGCTGTGTCCCACACCACTTTTTATGATAGGTATTGAGAGTCAAGATTAGTTCATTTCATTGCCTTTTGGTTTCTGAAGTAGTAACATCCCATCTATGTAGACCAGCTGTAGCCAATTTGATGGAATGGTTCACAAAATGGAGAAAAGCTATAAATCCGATGAAGGGTGAAGCAAAGATTTTCACCCTCCAAAAACCGTCAGATCCTCCAAATATTGAACTTATAGGTGAACAGATCACATGGAACCCTCCTGACCAAGCAATAAAATATTTAGGTATATACTTCAACCAAAAATTAAATTGGAAATTTGGAAATTTCATATAAAAAATAAATAAATAAAATAAAAACTTTATCAACTGTATATGAATGAGCCAAGAAGTGTCCTACAGACAGAATTAAGTTAGTGTAGTAGCATGTAGTCTTTCATATTTTGTGTTCAGATACACCTCAATGGCGGTAAAATGTAAATCAGCGAGACAAAAGTGGCAACACCGCTATCCCGTCAAACCGACACAGATGTAGCACTAATTAATTATTATAATAATTATAATTTTTAGTATAATGGACAGTATAGGAAATTTTTATGTTTACACTTCTGTTATTTCTGTTATTGCCATGGCGATATGCATGACATTGCGATGTTGCCACACACCAACGCCGCCTTGTGTCACAGGAGGAAACTGGGTAACACTAAATTCTGACAACATTTTGATAGGTAGTTGAAGTTACATGAATGATGCAGTGATTTCCATTCTTAGTTATGCTTGGTTTAAAAATTGCCATATCCAACAGCTATCACTCTGTCGGTGGCTCAATTAATTTGACTTGTCCATTTCCATTCCCTTAATGGCTACAACTATAACAGGAATGGGATGTCTACTTCAATCAATAGTCAAAGATAAGCTGACTATCTTTTCAAACACCTTAATGCTTTTTAGGACATTTCTCGACCGGTTCACTTGGTATGTTTGCTCCAGGTTCACACACAGTCCCCTTGATGGCCTCTTTCACCGGAACCGTGAGTAGTCGGAAGTTGACGTCAGTAGGGTCGAGAGAGCTGTAGAGGTATTTGTGCAACCTGTTGCTCAACACCCAGATGTTCTGTTCCGGCTCTTGGTCCACCTTGAGATCGTTGGGGAAGTTGAGAGTTTTGCTGTTTCTCTCAACGACACCCTGTGACCTCGGAGAGTAGTGGGTCTGGGAGTTCCAACAGCCGACAGAGTTAGCTGTCACTAGGTTGTAGAACATGATTCCGTTTCTGGAAAATGAAACTTTTAGCTGTAAAACTTGAAGAAAACATTTGCTGGGTTTCCAAACCGTTTGATGTTAGAAATTATTGATGATACTCACTTATGGTTCTCAATCTGTTGTCAATGACTTTTAATAGTGCAAGTAGACTTCTCATCCTTTTGTAAAATTTAAAGCCTGATTTTATGAGTTAAATGTTGGTAACGTTGTGAGTTTGCTAATGTTGACTAAATATGATTCTCTTTTATTAAAGGGTTTATGCTTAACTGTTTTGTTATAAAACCAAAGTACAAGATACTGTTCATAATTAGGGTCTTTTACTTGGTTAAAACTGCTGTAAAATAAGTTAAATATTAAGAAAACAAATGTAACTAAATACAAATTTATTTGTAAACTATTTATTGTCTTCTGGTACTGTACTTGTTCAGAATAAAGCATAAATTGTCATATCTATGCTGAAATAAGAGAACAAAATTTAGTCATTGACATCAGCACAATCAGATGTAATTACTAATTAACATAAAATATATCTAAACATGCTTCATATTTTACTGTAGGACAAGAAGTCTACTTGCAATATTCAAAATCATTGGAAGTATCAAGTCAATGATTGGTAAAACAACTTTTTTTATGTGATGATTTTTTTATGTGCGATTTTTATGTGACCAACTTAAAATCAAGACTATTTCTCACCTGTCCATTGCGGAGGCGCTAGCATGACTGTTGCTCTCTCCTCTCGGCTCTCCTAGGAGGAAGAATGAGTCCTTCTCCTCCTGAGTTAAGTTTCCACCTTCCCGTCTGATGATGGACGTTGCTACCTCAAACTCGCGGAAACTCGACATCGGATGGAAGAACATAGTTCTGTCTTTAGTTACAGGGTCAACCTAAGGAGAAATCGATTAGTTTCAGTAAATGTTACTATTGATGCAATTCTTTAACACTCTTGTACCTGTGGTTTAATGTCGACAACAATAAAAGTCAATTTATAAACTGTCAAAACAAAATGTATACCTTACACCTGGTTTAAAAAATTGCTTATCTAAGATGCGTTCCACTGCTGTCATTGATAGCTGTTATTGAAGGAGACAATTTATTGACACAGTCCAGCAGTATATGTTATACTGGTAGTTTAATTGAAAGATAATAAACCAACTGATGTAATAGGTAGGATAGGCTAGTCAACTGAAATTTTAAGAGAGTGCCAACTATAAGCATCATCATTCTTTTGAGGGTATTCTAGAAGTTGTATTGATAAAGAACAAGCAGTAGGCAATTTCAGTTTATTGGAAGCTGTGATACAGCTAGTGATACAACTATGCCGTGATAAATTTTTTTCTATTTTTACTAGGTTCTTGATCCCTGATTGTTTTTTACATTACTTCAGGCTGGGCCAAGAGGTTGCGGCATAATCACATAGATAAAATTCATTGGTGATTGGCGGGACTTGGACTAGGGCCCTCGAGGACCAAAGTCTGGCGCTCTACCACTAGACAAGGTTGCTTTCTACCCTGTGATATACATTGGTATACAAATAATCAAATAATGTTAAATCGCCAAAATCCTAATCATCGTTATGAAAACAAAATCAATGTACTTCTTTGACACTCACCGGTGACAGACTCAGTCCAAAGATTCCGTCGGTCCATCGGAAGGTGAGCCCATCAAGGTTGTATCTGCTGACGATAGGGTCAGGGAAGAAGTGGGGGTGAGTGATCCTCCAGGAACTGTCAGTCTTCCAGCGGTAGGTGATCAAACCGTATCTAGATGGGGAAGATAATTATATTTTACAAATCAAATCAAAAGTGAAGTTAAAACACATAACACACACAAACAATATGAATAAAATTTACAAAGCTATCAGGCCTTTCGTACAAACTGTACTGGTTGACATTTTTCCCGTCCAAGCAAGACACCGACTGCTAGCAGCGAATAAGTAAACGGTTGTAGTTTGCTTGTTTATGAACATATTTTGATCAAATTTGGAAAATGTCTTTATTTGTTACTAACTATTAACATTTTACAAAAAAAAAAAAACAGTTTTACCCTCCCTGATGCAGCAAACCTAAGTACTTGTTAAACTAATTCTATTTAAATAGGGAATAAATGTTATATATTTAAGTAGACATTTTAGTGTAAATCCTATCATCAAGGCAAATGGAAATTCGCTTAGTCTGCAGGTTTGCTGCGGCGGGGGTATTTTAAATATTGAACCGTCCCCGGACTTCCACCCTGAATAATCTGCTATCAGGTAAATAAGAAAGTTGACATTTTCCACACCAACCTGAACACATCAGCAATGTAAGCGTAGGCGTCCTCACAGTCATTGTCCCTGATGTCTACGGTGATGAACGTGAATAAAGCACTCTCTGGATTCTGATCTTTAGGGATCTGAAAAGTGAAAATAATTATAAACATTTCTTTTTCAAAGTAAGTTGTGAAAGATAAATTCTAGCAAATTACTACAAAAACCAAATATGAAAGCAGAGTTTCTATAGCAGATGTACAAAAGTTTTATTCATAAACTAGAATTTCATTAGGGTTTTTGTTAACACCAGCGAGAAAAGTTCCACCTAATATCAAAATGTATGAATACCACCTTTTGTAACGGTATTTTGGAAGTCAGGATAATACTCCTAAATTGATTTTATTGTAAATCAGACGTCCTCTTGTGACTTGTGAGCTATTTTTAAAACGTTTTTATTAGCTCGCTTTCTTGTCCGGTACAAATTTTGCAATCAATTTTATACTAACTTCCCGATGAGCTAGAGACTTGAAACTTGAAACATAGCTCACAAATGGAAGACAATGCAATATTATATCATTTAATTTTCATATTTCCCTCGGGCTACGCCCCACGGGCTTATTTTTATTAACTCGCTTTCTTGAAAATGTTGATACTTCCCGATGAGCTAGAGACTTGAAACTTGAAACATAGCTCACAAATGGATAACAATGCAATATTATATCATTTAATTTTCATATTTCCCTTGGGCTACGCCCCATGGGCTTGTTTTTATTAGCTCACTTTCATACAGATTTTGGAATCAATTTTATACTAACTTCCCGATGAGCTAGAGACTTGAAATTTGTAACATAGCTCACAAGTGGATGACAATGCAATATTATAGCATTTAATTTTCATATTTCTCTTGGGCTACGCCCCTCTGGCTTCCAAATTTTTCATGTTTACATTTTGAAAGAATGTAAATATATCAATTAATTAAAGTCAGCTGTAAATACTTAAATTTGACAGTTCAAAAAGCAGAGGTTTAGAGGTACAGGTTCTGCTCCCAAGAGATTCTTTTTACAAACAAACATTTCAAAATAAAGATAATCTGATTGCAGATATAAAGGTGTTTGTTAATAATGTAATTTGTTATTTATTTAGTACGAGCTGGTGGCCCGTCCTATGTACGGGAATCAAGTTGTCAACTAAAACGGAATAATTCAGAACATCTAGTTTACACGCATAGACACAAATTCTGGCAGTTTTAATGGGGAAGATCACCTTATAAACAAATGTAACGTGGCCACCTATTTATTCCATTCGAATATAGACCTAAAATATGGCGATATGCATTTTAAATCCGATAATTTTACCATAAAACAGCATTTGTGTCGATTTGAAAAATCTTGAAGTGAGATTGGCGACCGATTCACACTGGTTTTGAGTATAGTAGTTCATGCCACCTCCAATTGCATACCTTACTACTTATGTACTTATCGTACCTTATCTTACCTCCGTGACCACTGAAACTTTAATGAGGATTCTCTTCTATCACCTGCCTCTTCAAAACTTAGATCCTAGTCTGAGGATGCATTTCATAACTTGATATTTCCCGTCTATCGTGTGGTACTCCTTGGAATATACTTTTTAAAAGTTTATGCACAGCCTGTCCATCCAAGCTTTACCTACTTCTGGAAAGCATCCCTATATTTGGGTGTTAACACATTTCTCTTAGCTATCTGTTCTTTTTTATTTCGACCTCCGGGCCGTTATCTTGAACTGGTCTGTATATTTTCTCTGCACTTTATTATCTAACCCAGCATTAAGGTTTTTCGGTTCTTTGGTCAGTGCCCAAGTTTCTGAATTATCAGCACTGCGGGGATAGTTGGTATGGTATGAGTCGACTCTGGTTTCTGCTGCACCCTGCAGTTTATTTGACAGTTTTATAAAGACCTACTACACCGATTGACGCTTTCATTACTAACCAAAATTTTAGTATGCCAACATACTCACATTCAAACATACAGAAAAAGAAGTATCAACACGTAAACCACTTATATCTTAAACAATTAAGCGATAAACTGCTGAAAAAATATTTGCCAAATATGAGTTGAAATTTGCAATGCATGAACTAAATACTTGCACAGATTGCATTTACGACAAAACTTGATTAAACGCAAGTGTTTGAGATATTTAGTTCAAAATAACACATTTCCTGATAACGCATATCCTTTACGGTAGGGGAAAACTACCTACATTTTAAAGTGAAATAACATGTAGTCAAACACCAACGAACAATATTTTTGTAAACAAACAACTCGTAACGTAAACATTTTAATGACAGTTATAAACCAGCTGTTAGTTAAACCAGCCTTGAAAATACTTTAAATTGCTAGCGTCGGCTGATAGACTTTAAAAAAATTAAAACTTAATTTCTAAATACTGAAACCCTAAACTAAAATTATGGCTTCGACATTCCCTAGTTCTCAAAATTATCTTTCTTTTAACACAAAAATCATGAAAATCCGTCAAGTGGTTGATTCAGAATCGTGAAATAAAAAAACCCTGTTTCGTTTTAATATTATAGATTCTATAAAATAAACAATAAATTAAATAGATTGATATATTTATAGTTAGTAGGTAGGCCATACATTCAATCTAATACATAATTATATGGAAAGAAACTCAAATAAACCTTAGATTTCCCACATGCCTCTGTCCTAATCTGATATAGATGCATGAAATAGATTTAACATCCACACACATTAATAAAAACTAAAAAGTGGAAAATAATTTATAAATATGTGGAGAGTACTTGTAAGATTTAAAATAAAAAACCTGGGGTGCAATTGATAATATTAAATTAGTTCAATAGGTGAAGGTAATTGTAAATTATCTATTGCATGCACCCCAGGTTTTTCGTTTTAAATCTTACAAGTATTTATACTCTCCACATATTTATAAATTATTTTCTACTTTTTAGTGCATTTAAAAACGTTTTGTTTTAAAAAAGTTTTTTATTTATTAATTATTTACATTGAATACCGGGAAACCGAGCTTTGCCCGGATTGAATAAAACATTTAAATAAGTGAATTATTGACTCCTTCTTTTTTCTTGGTAGCATTTGGATAATTTTGTTGTTTATCTTTCCAATTTCAGCATTAAATAGGTTATATAGGTTAAATAGGGTTATAGGTTTGAGGAATTTCAGACTTTAGTGCGCTGACATTTTTGAAAATGTCAAGCTGCGATTCATTGACTCTCCTGCTCAAAATGTTCAGCGTGTTGTTCATCATATTGCTCGGCCATAAGATCTGAAATTATTTCACTACTTTTATTTTTTAATGCAGCACTTGAACGAGATTCTGACACATTTGGCGAGATGTATGTACATCTGGTTGGATCTTGCTCGGTTGCAGACGAAGTGGTAAAGTTTGTTTCGTTGTAGTCAATTGTAGCTTCCCTCCCTTGCAGATTCTGTAAATATTTTCGCTTCCGAGGTCTTCCACGTTTAATTTTTAATCTTGAAAATTAACCTTGAAAACATTAAACACTGATGTAAACCTAACTAAATACAACCATTCTTTAAAATGTTTAGTCCAAATTGACCAATGCAGCTATTTTTATTTACACCTCAAATAAAATTATGACAGTAATGATAACATTTATCAGCTTTTTTAACTGCCACTACGAAAAGGTATTGCTGATAACATGGTAACTTACAAGGGCTGTAGGACAGAAACTGGATTTTTCCCAACATTGTGACCACCTCATAATAACCACCTCATTGTGGCCAAATACCCCACATTCAACAAAAAAATAAAAAATCCTCTGATGAAAATAAAAGTTTGTCCGTACACACGCTTGATTTAGATTATAGGATTACATACAAAATATCAAATCTTCGCACTACACCATTTATCAGCCCCTGTTATTTACTACACTACACTTATTTTACTTGTATCCATTCTAGATTATCAACTTCAAATATAGTAAAACAAAATAACATGCAACAGCCAGGAAGGTGGTGTATGTGAGAAAAAACTTTTTTTCTCTTCACTCATAATTTTATTTTTTTTTTCTTGTCATAATTTTATTTGAGGTGTAAATAAAAATAGCTGCATTGGTCAATTTGGACTAAACATTTTAAAGAATGGTTGTATTTAGTTAGGTTTACATCAGTGTAACCAGAACCAAAAAGTAACCAGAAAAAACTTTTTTGTAACCAGAAAAAAAGTTTTTTTTCTCTTCAACACCATTTGGATGCTTCTTATTTATTACCGTATTGCCTTGTTGAAGTTTTGATGATAATGAATATTTCTTAGTAAATCTGTTATTTATACGCTGAATGCCAACATACAATAATACGGCCAAACCCTACCTCATACTTCCACAGAAGCCTGTCGGTCTCCAGGTCGAACACAAAGAGTTGGGGTGGACAGATGACTTTGACAGTCCGAAGGGCGTCAATGATTCCAGAGTCAATCACCCACAGTCTTCCACACTCGTCAGCCTAGTGGCAGAGACAGAAATAGTCAAGTAAATGCATTTTTACTTAATCCAGAACCAGAATATCATAATAGCAACAATTGTACACAAGGTTTCTTTAATATTCAGGTAGGTAAATATAGCTTTATTTACAATGTTTCTGCTCTTGCATATTTGAAGCAAGCTAAATTTGAATTAGAGTGGATGAAGTCTTGTAGTGTTGTTAAAAAATAAGCTCAGCTGTTTCCAAACAGTAGCCAAACTTATTTGTTAAAAGCCTAATCACAGCTGGGTCAGTTTTGGATTCACGATTTACATAAAAGGTTGTTAACTTTTCTCAGGATCAAACTGACGACCTTCTGACTTCTGGGCAAAAACTATCACTTAGCTATCCATGTGTACTGTTTATTAGGAGTGAGCAAATACAGAAAATGTGTACAGTATCGGTAGTTAGTTTACGTTCAAGTTTTAGAAATATTCTGCCTAAAACATCATAAGAGCGCAGCCAAAAACAATGATGCTAAGGACAAACCTTCATGCGGAACACAGAGGTGAGGCCATTGCAGTTCCCGGATTGATGCCACTCCCAGGAGGGGTACGGAGTCAGCAGCGGGCTGGGGGAGGGATCGTTCATGGAGATGACGTTCAGAGTTGCTGGAACTCCTTCCTTCCACCGGGGCACTGACACAAACACTCGGTCTTTCCATACCTACAATGAAACATATATGAGTTAGCAACACAAAAGATATTATAAAATTATCAACAACATAATCCTCCAACATGTAAAAATTAAACATCTACATATTTAATACGCTAGGCATATTTTTGTCATAATTGTTTTGGAGCGGTGGTGCTACCGATCACCATGTTCAAGGTGTCGTTAGAAAGGTCTTAGCATGTAGTTTTGCCATCAAACAAAAAAACTTTGGAATTCCATCAGGCCTCTGCCCCAGTGGCCTTCAAAGTTCCCATGTCATTCTTAGGGAGAAAATGTTTGTTTACATTTGAACAGATGAATACTTTGAAATGGACACTAATATTTGAAACAGCTGGCTATACTAAAATTGATTAGTTGAAAATATTGATGTTTCACTGTTTTTAACCAGTTTTTATTTGCACAAAATCAAAACATAACCAATAGTATATTTCATTACTAGGACCGAAAGTGGCATTTTCCGTCGCGCGCTCAAGTTTTTGTGTGAGGCGAAGCCGAACACAGGGAACCCCAATTTCACGTGCGAGGCGAAGCCGAGAATGTGAGAGCTATTTTCACGTAAGAGGCGAAGCCGAGGACGGGAATAATGGAGCAAGGGCCGGATAATAACTTTTCGGTACGAGTTATGAACGATACTTCATCACGACGCAAAAATACACAACCACAGATTAGCAAACCTCAGTAATATTACAACTATTTTATTTCTCAATTAATTTGATTGAACATCAAAATAAAATAAAATCTTCTAAAAGGAAACCTACGTATATTTCTCAATAAATTTTGTTTAAACATGAAAATAAAAGAATAAAACAACTTTTAACAATACATACAGCTGATTCAAATCATTAAATTAAACCGTAACAAAACACTAGCGTGTGTAGAGAATAAATGGAGAACTAATTGAGAGCGAGGGAAAGTAAATTTAGAGCGAGGGAAAATCAGCTGATCGATTTTCCCTCGCCCTAAATTAGAGGCCCTTGGGAAACGACTACTTTCATTGATGTCAACTGTTATCAAAAATAGTTACTTTCGTTACAGAGTGATGAAAAAAACGTTTGACATAATAAAGACGATAAGACGTCGACCAGGACAGCCAATAGGATGAGACCGACGAACTGTAACTGGTAGACGCGAGCGAAATACAAATAATACTATTGTTGTTGATAGCCGAATACAGCAAGCACCCTTCCGTGTTGGGTTTATGTGTGCTCTCCAACAGGCGCCTGAATATTTCACATTCAATTTAGGACTGTTGGATAATCGCTGCATAAGCTGTTGATTTTGGAAGACAAGGAGGCGGGTATGACTACATTGGAAACAGAAGAGAGGAGATATTAGATGAGTGGCAAATGCGTTGGGAGCAGAGTGTTTTATGTTAACATTTTAAAGGTTCGGGTATATACCTAACACCAGAAAGAGACTGGAACAAAATTGGTAGATGGCCCATTATGAAACGCAGTTTGTAACAGGACATGGAAAATTTCAAGGTGAATTTGTGAAGATTTCACATGGTGGAAGAGGAAGTATGTATATGTGGAGAAATAAAAACCACGAGTCATATATTTTTTATAAATTGTTCACTTCAGGAGACAAATAGGAGAGAACAGGAATAGGTCTTGGATAAGATACGTCTAGAGATGAGAAAATAAAACATGATGAGTGACAAGGAAACAAAATTGAGACGTTTACAAAAGTAGCTAGAGAAATAGGAAAAACCAGGAATACATACAGGCGTTAAAATTAAAAAAAAACTAAAAAAATTTAAGAAAGAAAAGGAATGAAAACTTGCCCATGAAGGGGAGAGGAAAGGTTAGAGCGAATCTCAAGGATCCCTATCGCTCAGGGCTGTATGGGGAAGGGAGTCGTGCTGTTAGGCATTTGGACACATAATGTGTCTGGAAACCTAATGCGACTATGAGTAAGGATATATTTGTAGAAAACACTATACAAAATAAATGTTGATTTTATCAATCTGTTATTTACATCCTGAGTATTTTTATAATCTTTGAACCAAATATTTTAGAGTCATCAGAAATTATTACCGTTATTCGTTTTAAAATAACGCCTGTAATACTTAGAAATTGCTCGAATTCGAGCAACAGGTACACTAGTATTATTAAAAGTACTTTGTTTTAAAACTGGCTGAAACAATATTGTTATTTCTGAATTGCAATTCAATATTTACTCTGAAACCAAATTAATTAAAAAAAAAAAACTATCATGTCAAGTGAAACTGTGCAGAGGTTACACGACTGTTACATATTTTTCTATTTGCATTCCAATAATTATTCAAATACTAATTATCAATTATTAATACAAGTATTCTAGAACTACTATTATTAAATTATCCATCCACTTTATTGCCCGTTAAAAAATTGTTTTTAAATTTGTGAGCATGCTTCTATATTCAACTATTGACTTAAAGATGCTGAAGTCTATCAATGGTCAAAGATTCAACACGTTCAATGATAACTCACCTCTATTCCCAGAGGGAGGTTGTTTTCGGGTATAAATGTCCCGTCAGCTATGGCAGCCTGTCTCGCTTGGTCGGAAGGGTACGCAAAGTCCACCTGACCCCAGCCGAACACCTCTTGGAATTTAGGCTTGGTACTCTGTGCTCTCGGCTTGGGAGACTGTCGAGAGCTTTGTCCTCGTGAAACTTGTCTAGAAGGTTGTCTGGAAGATTGTCTAGAGGATTGTCTGGAAGATTGGGGATCAGGCGAACCCAGTGAGCCCATGGCCTGGGTCCCCAGTAACCAAACGGAAAACATCCATGGAACCAACATTCCTGGAAAGAAAACATGTTTGAAATAGGCATACTCGGTTGAAAACACTAAAGAGTGTAATAATTGCATTTTCTTTCCCAGTTGGAAAAAAACAGTTCTGCCAACCATTAATGGCTTTAAGATATGTATTATAGTCTGTATGATGGAACCAGTCTCTTGGCCCTCTGTCTACCTGGGTACCTGGGGACTGACCAATGGACTAGTCCCTGATAAACGAGGGTCAGGAGACAGGTTGCATCATACAGACTATCATGTAAAATGCTCTCAGAGCACAGTCAAGCATTATGTCCACCAATTAAAAGAAAAAAAAGATATGTCACCTAGGCAAGGAGAACCTCTAAATTGAAGACTACCCTTCACAAAAATAGAAATATACTTTTTACCGTTTGTTTCTTAGACCCCACAATTTTGGAGTTTTTTAAATCACCTTTTCATCTAATGCCGGGCCACCAATGGTGCTCATATTGAGTTATAATAAGTTTCTAATGCAACTTGAGAATTTTAGCTTAGATTAAATATATAAAACATTAAATTACCGGTAAGTCTCTCATTTGGTATCAGAATTTGCCTTTAAAATGTTTCAGTTCTTTTGTGGACACCAATTTCAGAATACAGTATTTCTGTATTTTGTTCAGAATACAGTTTATGATTAATATAATTACATTGCAATAATATGATGATACACCATGGCATTAATGACTACTAAGCCCAACGGATCATGTACACAGGATGTTAATTGGTATCCTTCAAGTCTCAATGACCTAGTGTTTGTAATGTGTAGAGAAGGTCGCCATTTGTACTGGACATGTTTTGTAGAGTAGGTCATTGATACTATTGTATTACTAAAGTGGCATTACTAAGCGACACAACTCTAGTACAATAGTGAACAAAATGAATAGGCTCCGACACTACAATACAATCGGTAACCCAATATTACTTCAATTATGTTGTTGTATTCCCCAAAAACTTGGATCTCGTCTCATTATAGTGTAACCCTGAACTGCCTTTCCAAAACAACCGTGGGTTTGACTAATACCATACAATGCTAGGAATGACCTCCAGTACGCAAAAAACGTTACCTTGCTTTTTGAAATTGGGCTCTTTATAAGAGCTATGTTGAAAATACGACTATACTTGGAATTACAGGATAAATTAGATTTTTTAAATTTGAGTATACACATTGATTACCAATTGTATACACTAGAGGCCGGACAATTTAATATGTGCACAATATTAATAAGCTTAATATTGAATTTAAGTTGATTTAAATATTTGGGCTAGTAATTGCAATAAAAATTGGTTTTAAATCAACTTTAGCTGTTTTACCAGTGATTAAAAAACGGGACGAGGACGCACATAAAATCTTTATTCTGCGTCCATAATTCATTAAATAAAATCATTATTACCAACCATAATTGACAATGTAAACAAAACTTGTAGTTCTATAAATGTGTCGTGAGATCAAATGGAGCTCTAGCTGTTCACTTCAATTAGTTACTTAATACTTTATCAAATTAATTCTTTTACCACGTTGAAAACGTGTCAGTATTACCTTTGACTATTAATACAACAACTTCTGTATCCAATAGTCAATGGTATTACAGTTTATGTTTAGCTAGGTTTTAAATACTATAGTAAACAAATACAAAGGTTATACCTTTGTTTAAAGCTTTTGTCATAGTTTATCATAAGTTACAAACGATTGATTTTGGTTACCATGGATATTTAAAACTGAATTTAATATTCAATCAATGGAGGCAAAAGTTTTAACAGAACCTAGTTTATAAATATATATATATATATAATAACTTCTTGGTATAAACAAGCAGATCAGCCTTCTCCTATAGAAAGACGACTCGTCCTGGAACACGTTGGATTAGAAGATAGGGAATCCACAAAAAACTTCGAGACCTCAATATGCTATCTAGATGACCAGACGTCACATCAAATGTGTGGATATAAACGGTACCGTAATGCAATATTTTATGGAGTAGTAAGTACTCGAGTATGGAGTGTTTAGAACAGTAGCCTAAAGATAAATAGGTTGTAATTGTATGCAAGTATAATAGGACCACATAGAACTAAATCTAAATCAACATAAATAGCTTGAAAAGTAGTAAACTTATTTGTAGTTTAACAAAACTAACTTAGCACCGCATCTACAGATGTGAAACGAAACTTTTACCTGAAACAGTTGTATCCACAGTACATGAAAGCCACTAAGACACTGCAACAATATTAAGCAGAAGGATGTTTTTAACGATCACAAGTTGGCGACCCTGACAGAGTTCCCGTCTCCCTTCTTCTTGCTTCCGGTTCCGTCACGCGCATCAACCGCTTTGATTCTCTCCTAACCTAAAAATCTGCTCTGGCGAAAAGGGCATTTGCTTTGATAAATGTAGCGTGCTTAGCTATATACTTTATTTTTAAATATAATTAAATTAGGAACCAATACAGACCTTTCAAAGATCATAGCGGCTGATTAAAACACATGAAAACTATGCGTATTTCTCATTGTCATTTGTTTGATGTATAATGTTTAAACCAAACAAAAAAATGACCACAGGACCAATATTGGGGGGGGGGTTGTCATATTACGTTATGATATATTTAAGTCGGGTGTAACGTTCGTTTATTAATGTGTTATAACTGTTTGAAAAAGAATAATAATTTTTGTTATTATATAACAATAATAAGTTATGTGATAACTTTATTATTGTATTAATAAAACTATTAATTGGTTAATATGAAATAAACAAAACAGAATACAGTAATAGTAATACAAACAAATAATCACACCTAATTATTAATAAGGTAAAAAATTGTAAGAAAAACAAACAAATAAGTACAGCTGAGGTATTTTTGACATTAGGTATATGGAAAGTTCCCTTTAGAAACAGCATTTGGATAAAAATGAAATGACATACGTAGGTGACTTATTCATACTATGTGTAATGCTATAACAATTGATGCATTCGGTAAGGGGATGACAGATTATTTAAATATACATTGTAATATACTTACTTGTATATACTGTAATATATTTGTAATCTAGTTTTTAAAACTATAGAAACACTATTGACAGTTTAAACAAACAAGTTTAGTTTCGGTATACCGTACAGATGCATGGATACAACTGCCATAAGTTTTTTTTTACTATTTAATAAATTAGCACTATATTAAGGGACCATTGAGGGCAAAATCACCTCTTTCCATCCTTCAAAAATAGAAGATAATAACTTATCTAAATAGTTACTGTAGTCTACTGTAATTTTTTCCCTTATACTTAATCAAAAAATATATACATATATATTTGTGGCTACAATAGGTAGGCGTTATTTTGAAAATAGCTTAAAAATATCTAATAGAAAAAACACGTTAATGCAATAACAACATCCCCCCCAACATTTTCTATTTTTGCTACTGGTTATATGGTTTATTTCCTAAAGTACATGACATGAGTAAATCATTCCAATTAATCATTTTACAAACAAAACTAAGGTCTTAATTGAAAAGGTGATACTAAGTAATCGTTAGAACAAATTTTAAAGATCGAAACCCCAAAATAGCAAAGAACCCGAGCAACCAAACATATTAGAAATATTGTTTGTTACGTAACCTTAAAACCTCTTAATTCTTCGAAGATTAGTTTGAAGGTCTTTGCTGCCAAAATTGTTATGTTATGTAATGAGTTGATCCAATAAGGATGTGGAAATTGGATTCAGGAAGCTATATATTATGTCAGACCTTTTTGTTTCCTGAATTTCTGTTGTATTTTATTGCAATTAGTGTTTTATTTCTTTTAGAACTAATCTTAAAAATTGGAACTAAAATATAACTACAATAAAGTAAGGAATAATTTGTAATCTAATTTTAAGAGGCAAGTGATAATTTTAAGGGGTCAAATTTTACAGGATAGTTTCATAGATGAGGTAGACGATAAACATAGACTACTACATAAATAACCCTTTAATCTTTCAAATTACTAGAGAATATAATCCAATAACGTTCTTCTAAATTGCCAGGATTTAGTGAATTCCGAAGCAGCAAATGATAGGTTAAAGAACTATGGTAACATGATTAGAGAGAGGCGAATCGGCTTCTTAATAATAGAATATTTTGCTGCAATATAGTGAGGGTAATGTTTGTGGAATGTAACTAATGGTTTCACATTTCGAGCTAAAGATATATTCTTTTGTGAACGCGTCCTTTGTGAATGTATCCTTATTATTCTTACCAAGTCTGTACGTAGGAGGAGAAATCGAATACCAACGTACGTAAACCTTGTGTTTTAGCCATGAACATCATCTCTACGGCAGTGAACTTAGGTTGGTTAATTGACATTACTGGCAGAAGATAGAATATACCCAGATAACATCTGTAAACTGTCAAACATCTGTTCTCAAGAAAGTTGGTCCAGAGCACTCCAGCCTACCCGCCTACCGCTATTATTTATCTTGCAGTTACTGTATTTTTGTCGATTAAATATAATTGAAACGATTGATGGATATTCTCAACTGCTGTAAACCATGGCGCTATTAAAAGCTGAAACATGGTTGCACAGGTGGTGTGACAACAGGACTGAATTTGACCTGGTCCGTTCTGGGTCCGCAGGCGCAGCCATGCGGATAATTTCAGGGGTGCGACATTAGGACTGAGGGAGATCTCCCTCTCCGCGTCCCTTTCTTCCCGTTCTCCCTACCCTCACAGGGGCGCACATGAAAAGAGCCCAAAAACTCAGGCAGACGCTTGAAAAGCGCCCGGACCTCCAAGGTCCCAACCAGGATGGTGCGAAAAGAGCCCGGTCTCTTTTTAGAACTTTCACAAAGGGTCTTCAAAATATAAAGAACAAATAACACAATTGAATTACATGAAATTATTTACAATATTAAAAGATACACTTTTAAAAGATACATTAATAAAATATATATTATTCAAAGATATTTACATTACTAAGATATAGTCTGTTTACCTAACCTAACCTAACCTAACCTAACCTAAC